GTTCTTATTCGGGTAGTGAATGGGTCATATTGGTATCATCTATTGCTAGGGTTGGAACATCGTGATTTTGAGAGATTGCTACCTATTCGTTAATAATTGAAATAAAGTGTTCCTGATTTCGTGAGCGATTCTGAGGTTTCATGAAATTCTGGCTGGGAAAAGCTGCTCTTGCTCACAGTTTCATCTGTCTATGCGACTGCTCATCGCTGAATTTGGCTTCACGATAGTATTGATAGTGATTCATAATGTTTGCTGATATGTAGCGGTCTCCAGCATGTATTTGTTGTTAGTTTTATCGATGGGTGTATCAAAGAAAAGAGTGATTGATAACGCACTACTCATCGAAAGGTCTATCGTTCATATCTTGTGATGTAATCTCGTGTCGTTTTTAAATACACATTAACGATGATCAAACGATAACGATTTCACAATATGACGGAATCTAATGATATGCTTATCAGAATCAAATGTGTTCTCAATATCAAATTATCAACATTCAGTCTCCTGTTCCACTCTTTTCCTACATTGCTCCTTCATGTTTCTCTCATCACCGCTTTTTTACTCACAATCAGTCAAATTGGTTTCCATGATTCCTTTCATATTATTCGTTTATTAATAAATTTTCGCGACTGTGAATCGTTCATTTAATAATCATAATCGGAGTGATAACTAACCACTCAGAATCACCGAACAGATTGCGAACTTCGAGAAAATATTGTGAGAAATTTACCAAAATATTGCAGGGGTTAGTTTATCGTNAATTACCTTACCTCAACTTGGACCTCTTACAAAAACTCGAATAATAATAACTGTATCAGTGAATCGATCACTGCTTGAATGCTTTCTCGGGATGTTATTTGTCATTGATATAAATTAAATTGTTTGCAAATGAATCGATGCGTTTTGTGTTGAGTGTTCGAAGTGTTAATGCAGAAGTGAGAATTAATGGGCTGAAGTTGAGGAATGTCGTCGCCATCGTTTGATTCATACCAACCACCACCATTACCACAACCTGACTATTCACTCGGCCAAGCCACTGGTGAACGTTTCAATCAACGTCAGAATTTATCATCGAAGAAAGAAGGTGATAGCGTTGACAACGGTAATGACACTAACGATGAAGCAACAGATCTAGTGAACGCAACTGAAGAAGAATCACAAACAAGGCTGCCAACACGTCGAAATTTCCTTGCGCAGTCAGCCTTGCAACCGTCCAATTATGGTGCTGCTATGACAGCGTTTTATGCTGAAAGGTTATTTGAAAACAAATCAGATCAAACTGTGGATAACGATGAAGACTACGAAGAAATATCGAATTCATCAGCTTCAAGAAAGTTCACGGGTAATGGCAGTGTCACTAGAGAAAGGATAAGAAGAAACATTCTACAGGTATTTNCTGAGTAGTACTAATATATGGCTTGTTATTATTCAAGTATTCTCAATGAAATTCCATATATCATTTGTTGAGCAGACCAGTCAGCGTTACGTGTCGATTAGTCTGCTTACTGCTAATTTGAAAAGGTGCCCCACTTGATTTCACTTCAGCGATGTCTTCTCGCAAAATCAACCTTTTCCCGTTATTGTTCTATCTCTTTACCCATCCAAACCTTTACCATTTTCTCAGTTCTTTCGAAATTGTCAAAAAAGTTCCAGTATAATCTATGCTGAAAATGTGATTTTGAGCAAAGTTCAAATGATCTAAAGAAACTCTCCTTTAATTGATGACTGTTTATGAAAGAAATGCAAATTGTAAGTGACCGCCGTATGCACTGTAAATGCAAACGTGTCATATGCTACCCATATGCATGTTTCTGTTTTTTGCATTTTATTATCATTGTATATTCAAAATTGTCTTTGCTTGTTAGTGGTTGTTTTATGTGAAAATTTCACTGATTAGACCGTAATTATTGATTGATTGAAATCAACTATGCGACTTCCTTGTTTACGAACTCCTACACTGTCACTATCGTTATTACCACAAGAAGCTTCGAAGGTAATCAAGCCTTATAACTTCATCTCTTATCTACTATATTCATTGGCATACGTGCTCTCTTACCTTTCACATTTTACTCTCACTCATTTGAAGGAAGCAATCGTATGTGATGCTAAATGGTTATGCCGGTTGAATTCAGTGATGATTTGACGATCATTTTTTTAGAACTCTCTAAATTACAAATAAAAATGACATTTGTATTTTCATCGGTAATGTTTTTTACCTTATTCTCAGTTATCACTTCTATAAAAATTTTTCGACACACACAAGTAACGGTGAGTTGTAAATGAAATGAATTCTGAAATTGGTATTTATTGTTAGATATTTTTAACTGGCCTGTCAGTGTGTTTGATCCATTGATGACTTACTGAAAGCTTGTTCTCGTAGTGCTCAAAAAATGTGGGTGCCAGAGGAATATAGGGAATCATTTGCGACTTCCGAATTTCACGTGATTTTTTAATGGCCTGAGTTTAACCTTAATATTGCATTATTGCGAATATCAAGACTAGGTTTTCACTGATCATGCATCAGTATTGTCAAACAACGATGTGAAATAAATAGAGAAAGCTTACTCAACCAATTGTCTAATATACTAGATCGCATTCTGCAACATAATTGTGTTACGGGCTAAGAACTGGAACAGTCTTAGCAACCATCGTTAGTATACTGTAGCAAGTGGAACGCCAGGCAGTAATAATGAACAGATAATATGGCTACACCAACAAACGTAGTATTCAAACGATATATACTTTGTATTTCGTACATTCAAAATCCCTTTACAGCTTAACGCTTGAAGACTAGTAGCATTGCAGATATGAGGGTGAGAAACGTGAGATTAGTAGAGAAATTGTGTGTGAGTATCTATTGAACCAGAATAAGATAGGTCGTTTTACTTTTTTTTTATTTTGCTGATCAAGCTGAAAAAAAAAAGAGGACGGTACATTGTTCATCTAAACCGCTGAATGCTACATTATGGTCTGAAATTCATACGTCTTTTACGAGAAATGCTGCGCAATTGTAACTTATTCTGTAGAATGGTCAGTCCATTTGAGGGTGTCGATTATTACTTTTTTCCAGTATTCACTTCATCAGATGTAATTCGATGAATTAGTAACTGCAATGCTCCACTGAATGTGAATAGACAGTAATATTTGTCGGAATAGAGATGTTTCCTTTGTGCAACTTTTCGGAGGGAATATTTGTTAAGAAGAACTTCATCGAAGCTAGTCTCGAGGATCCGTTCAAACAGTTCATTGATTGTTTGAATTGTTTGGTCCAGATCAATAGTGAACTTGGATAGCTCATCATTGAGTCGAGCTTATGATCCCCTAGGATCAGCTCACCATTCGTCCAAATGTCTTAGCCATTTATTATGTTATTGATGTCGGTGATTCGAGTGTTGAATACGAGAGTCATTGAAACGAATAAGCAAACCAACAATTTGTTCATTCGGCTGATAGGAGTATTCTTCAGTTTTTGTGGTATTCTCTGAATGTGAATTTTTGGGTTGCGTTGAATTTTTGAGTATTTCTCTCTGTTTGCATGCCTTTGTCTGTCTTCTGAAAATATCCATTCTCTAATAAACACTCAAAAAAATGTTATCATTTCCCTGTT